ATATCCATCGAAACAGACCAGTTCAAGATAAAAGAAGATCTTAAATGGTAAGGTCTGTCCAGCTTTCACCTCTGGCACCGGAAAACATAGGTGGGCTATCAGGACTATTAAGAACATTCAAATTGTTTGTCAAACAGAATTCAATTATAGCATCACCTTTTGGATCTATTGAGTGATCAAAAGGACCCCATAGGGGACTCTTGGCATTGAAATCTCTGCAAATAATTATTTCTGAGTCTTTGTGCGAATCAATAATACTATTAATGCAATATAAATAGTCATTCAAGGCATCATTAGGGGGGCAATACACTGAAACAAAAACTATGTTTCTGTTATCAATGATCATTTTAATAGCCACTATATTCTAGGAAGCATACAAAAGCATTGCTGGAGAGCTGTCAAACAGAACGATTGCTGCTCGTGGATAATTTTTGTCACAAAAAGTTCGAAATTTCATCGGGATTCCCCGAACTTTATCATCCACTACATAAGGTTCTTGGATCAAGGCTATATTATGGCCTCTTTCAATAGTTTTAATATATAATTGATTTACAGCAGCTTTGGCGTGATGTAAATTTATTTGAACCATTTTAAAGTATCCGTCACTTCTACTAGCCATAATTAGTACGACTGAATTAAAAGATCCAATTGTCATTTGTGGCAATGACAATTTTTATCTAAGCTAGAATGATCAACGCTAAGCTTCAATTTATACTTTTCATTTGCCTCTTTGCAATGAATACATTTTGGACTAGCTTTACATTCCCAATGTTTATGCCCAACTTCAACACATTTAGCACATATTTGCGGTTCTAGGCATTTTGTTTGAAAGTGCCCATACTTTGAACATCATTGAGTTACTTTCAAAAATTCTTTAATTCTAAGACGAGACCAACTTATATTAAGTTTTCCTGCTTTTATAAGTTCTCTATATTTCTTAGCATCTACACTGGCCACCCAATGTACTTTGTTATTTCTACCTTTTATCAAAAATTTTAAGCAAAGCCACCATTTTTAAAGACCATATTTTGGTCTCTAATAATAATCTTAACATCATCTCGAGAAAGATCAGAATTTACATCATAAATAATAATTTTTGGGTCTTTCTTAACAGGACGTTGAATTACCGTATCGTTTCTAAGCAAATCATTTGTATTAACCTCTTTTTCCAAGGCTTCAATATCGGAGGCCTTGGAACATTCTATTAGAACACCTCCTTTATTAATTTTTCTTAGTCTTTTAACACCAGTGTGTAACTGGGTGGGATTAATTAAGTTTACAATTTTGTTTTCGACCTCCTCGGAAGTAATTCCTTCCTTTTTCGGATAGAGTAAAACTGGAAATTCTTCAGACCTATTTCTACTTGTAGATCTATCTCGTATTTTCTGTATTGTTTTCTGAGGAAAATGTTTTGGATGTACCACTGCTGCAAATGAAAGTGGATGAAAATTCGATAACATTTTTGTTTGCTCTTCAAGCCTTCCCTTAAGGATGGCATTATCAAAAGTTTGTGTAACCAATAAATCATAAATTTGATATGCCATAGAAATAATTTTTCCTTTTGAAATATTCGTGACTACTTGAGTCTAATACAGTTTCTAAAGAACTTAAAATTGCTCGTTCATCTGCTAATATAGCAGTAGACTCAACGGCTCTGTCTAAATTTCTTGACAAATTTGTAAAGACATTATCCAATCAGGACCCTTTTTTAAAATAGTAGAATAATGTAGAAATCAAACGTACTTACAGTTTGATGATCATTTCAGACCTTTTATATCATAGGAATAGTGATCCAAAAATCGAAGCCAAAGCACGACGACAAAAAACACACAAAAATGCAAACATCCATAAGTTCGTCAAATAGTCTCAGAAACATAAAGTGTGATATAATATCACAACCGAAACACAATTAGCTTCAAAATATCACAAAATAAAATGCTATAAAATAGTATTTATTGGAAAAAATAGCGTATTTTCAGGAGCCGAAGAAAGCACAAATCAATATGGGGCAAGCATGCACAAGTAATTCCGCCAGTTTGGTAATCAAAGTGACGAAGCATGCAATTAATGTATAAAGCTCATTGAAATTTAAAATTGTTGTTTCTGCAACCTTTATCAAAATTCTCTTCATCGATTTTGTGGTAACCTCCTATAACTTGCCAAAATGTGGGGAAGAAGTGAGAATAAAATTTCATATTATATCTTCTTCGGAACTAAAGCGTTGAATAGGATCCAATCTATAAATTCTAAGGTTGTTATCAAGAACATTTTTCTCTCCCTTGAAGTTCATAGCATTATCACTTTAAACAGTGGAGGGTTTGGACCATCTGGCAATAAACTTTCTAAGACATGCTAGAAATACTTCAACAGACAAATCCAGTACTATTTCTAAATGAATAACCTTTGTACTAAAGCAAATAAATACCACAATATATGATTTTAAAGTACTCATAGGTCTTTTCAAAGTGTGTTTGGTGATGATTGATCTTGTCTAGTCCTATTTTTTTGAATGGTCTAGCTGTTACTACTCTGTCTCTAAGTAAGTCTCCCATCATTTGGTGTATGGTTAGGTTTCTTGTTCGAAAGCAAGTCATGTATTTATTTGTAACACGTCTAAATCTCTCTTGTCCAAAAAGTATCCAGTATAATTGTCTAATAACAGAAAGTGTTGTTTGAATGTAACAAATGAAGAGTTTTTTTGCAATAATAATCTATGAGTAATTCAGTGAATTGGTTAAAAGGAGATTTATATATTTGTTCTGTTATTTTGGTAAAAGGGGTTGATGGTTCTGAAAGATTGGACTCAACCTCCCACCAACTCGTAAAAGTTAATCTCTGTCAAGAAATACATTTAAAGACGAAACCTTACTATTACTTGGAACTGATTGTTTCGACAGTGGGCTACTCATTTCAGATTGAAACTCAGAATGCTGTACACATTTGAAAAGCATCTTTGTTGCATTCTGCAGTTCAGAAGCACTCGAGCAACTTTTTTTTTTTTTTCTTAATGGGGAATTGATTCTACTGTTGTTCACAAACCTTAAACACCACACAGTAGTTCTAATCAATTTACTAAATAATGAATACTTTTTAATGAATTTGTTCTCAGTGAAACTTTCACCTGTGACTTTTGAGTTCACCACAGCTCCCTTTCGATATTTAAATTTTTTATTATCTTTGAACTCTTTTACTGGTTTTGCAAGTTTAGGCCATGAATCGAAACTCTGTAATAATCACTTAGGTCCTTGCCACCGCGTATCACTATTTCGTAGTTCAGCTAACATTATTCCTTTCATGGAATTTGTCTTCATTCCTCTGATCAGCCTGTCCACTCGATTTTCATCTCCAAAACAATAATTCCAGGACTCAGGTGATGTTTTCTCTTATATTTCCATTGCTCAGTGTGGGATGAAGGGCTTTCATTTATTTAAATCCCCCTTTATCCAATGTAATATCTGGGAAGAATCTGACTAAAAGTGTGCATACATTCATCTGGAGCCTCTTTTGTATCAGTTATTTGATATTTGAGAGCTCTGATGAGCTCTCATCGGCTCTATTCCTGGAAGAGATAGCTTCTTCAGTGGAGCTACTCTGCTTTTGGAAATTACAAAACTACTTCTTATTTCACCATCCTTCATGATGTATCACAGATATACTACAGCTCTATATGCCTTCTGACTTGTGTCAGTGAAGCAATATATTTGAACATCTCTGAATTCAGATGTATTAGTCTTTCGGAAGTAATATCAAGGAATGTTTATATTCTGAATAGTTGACAGTTCATTAAACCATTTTTCTCATTCTGTTTTCAAAGTCTGATTTCAACAAATCATCCCAATCTGCTCCAAGTTGCTAAATTTCCATTTTTGACCTAATAGTGAATGGACTTGTAAATATCAGTAGGATTGTAAAGCTTTCCAATGGCTTGGAGAACTTGTGTCTTTGTAATTAGTTTTGTTTTCTCTTGAGTTTGATTAGTTGGATTTTATGACTCTGTCTTCAAAAGATCTTTGTAATTTCACTTGTATAATACCTTCTGTTTGAGAATTTTCTGGATTTCATAATTTTCATGTTCGTCAAAAACTTCCTGCAAATCCGTATAATTTGTTTTCCATTTTTGCATGTTGAAACTAGCAGCTTTTAATATGTATGTAATAACTTCATATACAAGTTCAGCTTTGTTTTCTTCGTTCATCCCCACCTATTAAATTGTCCATGGATAAATATTCATTCAATAGTTCAACTGCTTTCTGATTTGTTTCTTTAAAAGTATTTATATAGTGTTTGATAGTAATGGCAAGCAAAAATGGGCTGAATGTAGCACCAAACAAAACGCAAATCATCCTAAGCACTTTCGTATTAGATTTTCCATCTTTATCTGTATGGTTATTTGCCCACAAAAATCTTACAGCATCCATAGCTTCAGGTCACACAGGAACTTAGAGAAAAGCTTGTTCAATGTCGACAGTAAATGCTATATTATGTATACGAAATTGCATTAATATCTCAAATGGCTCGATGCATCAAATACAACTCTTAAAAGTTTATCAGGTTGAATAATTGGCTGTTGAGGCATGTAATAAATTCTTCATATTTCTTCAGAATTTTGATTAATTTCCTCAGCTATACCCGTTTTTAAATGCTGTTCTATGACTGACTGATACTGCTGATGAAGTAGTGGATCATTTCTCAACTTTTTAATAGTTTATCAAGGTGAACTTCTGCATTTATGTAATTCGTTTTTAAATGAGGCAAATTTTCATTCCAAAGGAATTTAACCTCATATCGCTTTTCTTTCAATTTGATAGTTCTGTTAAAATTCTCTAAAATACCGTTATCCATTTTACTACTTTCCTTTCCTTGTTCAATTCCTAGTGCTTTTAACTCCCAAAGCTGCTGTAACTGTGTTGAGTTTGTTATGTGTTCTGATATTTTACTTATGTTTGAAATATGATTTTTTACTTGATGTTAAAATTTTAGCTAAATTCTTTTAATCATAGGATCTAGATAGTCTTAGCAGTAATGACAGTAATAAGAGCTGGACAAGGCAAAACTCTGGCAATGGCTACAGTCCTAACAAAAATTCTGGAAATGGCTCACCCCATTCGTCTCGCAGGTTGGTAAAATTCCATTCATCAGAAAGTTTATATGGAATAATACAAGCTATTTTTCCTGTTATTACTTCTACAGTTTTTCTTGTCAACTCCATGTGAATTACTATTTTGTATAAGAAAAAACTCCATTTAACTTAGATAACTTTTAATATATAGTATTTCAAGAAATTCTTATGCAAAAACCAAATGTCAAAATAATAGTGAAATTGCAAAAAAATTAAAAAGAAAATTTCCATTTTTGAAGAATATAAGTACTTACTGCTGTGTATTTTAGTTAATAAAATAATATGTATCCTTAATTTTTCAAAATTAAGGCCTTCTTTCTGTATAAATTAGTATCCTGAAAATTAATCAAAGGTGATTATTGTTTATCTATTAAAGAATTAGTAGACATATTATGTGTATAAAAAATAGTATAAGTCCTCTCAAGCTTGAAACTGTTTCCATTATCTTTCCTAATTTACTAGTCTTCAAGTGAAAAATAGTATGTTTTTTCCTGCTTTCATATTTCATTTTCAAATATGCAAAACAGTAATTCCAAAAATAAATCTGTAGATGCATCAGTTGTTTATGGATGTTAAAGAAACCGACGTTTTTCTTTAAAGTGGATTATCAACTCATCATTAGCCAAGTGACTGAAGTTAACCTTGTGATCATTCATTTAGTCCCCTTAGAAAATTCTTCTCAAAAACAAGTATCTTTGCATAGATATCCTTTCAGTGCTTTGTTCTAATTATTTAACTAAAATGTCCATAACGTGCTGTAAACAAACTTCCATAGGGCTATTTTTTAAGTAAGATTTACTATGTAATAAAAACTGAATAATTAAAACTTATATATACTTAATTTACATACAGTCCTCTGTTTTTCTATGTAATTATTTTATTGGTTTAAGAAATTATTATGATGAACAACAGGTTTTTGGATGCTTTCCTTTTAGTACTCTGCTGCCTATTAGCCAGTTAGGTAGCCAGTTATTTATGGTTGTTTTCATCTTTCCATCAATATCTTTATCTTCCTTGAAAAATCTCATCAATCTTTGCTGTTACTCCCTCTCAATGCAATGTCACCATATAAATATACACAGTGAATATCTGTGGCTTTAACTTTTCTTGCTGTTAAGAACCAGATGGCTGACTGTATTTGACAGTTTATGGGGCGTGCAATTTTCTCCAACATTTTAATTTGACTCTATAAAGCATACAGATCAATGCCATCAATGCAAGTGCCACTGGATTCTGTTTAAAGAATCCTGTGAGCCTTCAAATGCTGAAAGTGCATTCTCACACTTGCAAAATTTCAAATGATATTCCCAAATAGATTTTATTTAAAAAATAACGTATGCATTTTTCTTGTTGAAGAATTTTCTTGTGGATTTGAACTACATATCTTAAAAAGGGCATTTACAGGTTATTTTTAAGTTAATTTTTAGATAAATGAATTTTTGTTGTCACAGACATATAACTCATTTTACATTTTCATTTGCAAGCAATAAAGTCAAAAAAGTAAAGAGAATAAAGAGTAAAAAGAATGCTGAGTAATTCATACTCTTCACTTCATAAAATATAAAAGCCAGAATGTGTGGTGCTGTGTGCCAATATGCTATCTAATTAAGCATATATGTGCACCTGAACCTTTTGATTTTTTGGAGCATATGGCAGAAATTAATAACAGGTGAGTCCATCTTTCACTGTAATCACAACTGCCACTCTCTTGGGAAGACTTCCAGTTTTTAAAATGTTTAAACTCGAATATTATGTCACTCCTTGCGCAAGAATACCAGCTAGTTCTTATGCAGGTGTGAATCACTCAGGTCAGGTTTGCAGTCAACATACCATTTCTTCCTTTTGGTGCTTTAAAGATGCGCATCAGTGGTATGAAGATTCAGTGGTAATTCAAGTTTCTCGAATATGGTGGTTTAGCAAAACATAATATATAAATAAATCAAATATAAATAAATCAAAATCAATAATCACCAATCAATAAAATATAAATTGATTTAATTAAATATAATAATATCTCAATCTCAGAATCTCACATCACACCTTCCATCGAATCTCAGAACACACTCAGTGTTGCTCTCAGCACCCTCTAGCGTTAGGCGGGTCTTACCATTCTCCCCGATTAAACTCCCATGGAGTTTACATTTCATTTTCCAGATATTCAAATAAATTTAAAGTCACTAAAATTACACTAAACTAAATATTGGTAAACTATTAAATATAAAATAAAAAGTTTTTCAAGTTCTCATTCAGTCTTTAAATGGTAATGAAATAAGTTTGTTGATGGCTCCTCGAAGAACTCCTGTAGACGTCTAAACTACTGTGACCAGACCATCGGCACCAGGATACACTTGCTGGATGCGACCCAATGGCCAATGCAAAGGATTGGAGTTGGAGTCTTTTAGCAGTACTAGATGACCAATCTGCATGTTTGGCTGCGAACTGCTCCATTTGGCACGATTCTGTAGTTGATTTAGATACTCGGAATGCCACCGCTTCCAAAATTTAGCTTGGAGTCTCTGAACTAGTTCCCACCTGGAATGAAAAGAAAGAGAATCGGAAGCAGTATGGGGTTCAGGAAAGGATGACGTAACATTTCCTGTCAAAAAAATGTCCCGGAGTTAAAGGCTGTAAGTCATTTGGTTCGGAAGAAAGCAGTGATAATGGGCGGAAATTCAGAACTACTTCTATCTGAGTAACTAAAGTAGTTAACTCTTCAAAATTCATGATAGCTGATTTTGCTACCCTTAACAAAATAAGTTTCACTGATTTTATGTTTGCTTCTCACGGTCCGCCAAAGTGTGGAGAAGCTGGTGGGATAAATTTCCATTGGATGCCTTCTTTTGCACTAAATCATTGAATTGGGTTAGATTTGCGAATTTCATTATATGCGTTAATAATATTTCTCGCACCTTTGAAATTCGTGGCGTTGTCGCTCGAGATGACAGCTGGCTTGGATCTTCTGGCAATAAATCATCATAAACAGGCTAGAAAAGCTTCTGCTGTTAAATCAGAAACGACTTCTAAATGCACTGCTTTAGTGCAAAAACTGATAAATAATGCAATATAAGACTTTAAAGTCACCTTTGACCTTTTCAAATTAGTTTTCATGATTATTGGTTCTGCGAAATCTAATCCGACCTTTTCGAAAGGTCTAGAAGGCTCGAAACTGTCCCACAACCCTCGAAACTGTCCCTGTCATCTGATTACCATCATCTGGCTTACCGTTTGATTCTTCGTTCTGAAGCAAGTTATGCACTTGTATATTACTTTCTAACTCGATCTTGACCTGACGGTATCAAATATGACTGTCTAATTAAAGATAATATAGTCTGTATACCAGAATGCAAGGATTTTTTATTGTAATATTCAATAACTAAATTAGTGAAATGATGAGCCTTTGACAAGAGTATGTGATGTTTCTGAAATTCAGAAAACTTAGAATACTCCAGTCTTTCTCCTACTCTCAGTACCTCATTTTTATCAAGAAATACGTTCAGAGATGGTATTTTACTATTTTTTGGAATAGATTGTCCGTTTTTTGAGCACTCTATTTCCCTTCGAAATTCAGTTGACTGCACGAGTTTTACTAAAACTTCAGTAGCATGTCTTAATTCAGAAGCACATATGAAGTCTGTTCTTAAATCTGGGTTCACTTTACAGTTATTTATAAATCTCAAACATAAAGTTAATCCTAATTATCCAGTTATCCTAATTAATTTACTGAATGAGGAGTATCTTGTGATCAAATCGTTTTCAGTTTGGCTATTTTCAACAGTTGCATTTACAACAACTGACTTCTTAAACTCTAACTTATCGACATCTACTTTCGGTTTCTTCCATTGATTCTAAGGAGGATGGCCATGCTGTATTGTCAACCAACAGGGTTCTTGCCACCAGAGGTTATTCGTCTTAAGCTCTAGGATAAACCCCTAGAAATCAAATCGGCGGGATTATTCTTTCCTATAGAATGATGCCATTCCATTGGGTTGCTGTATTTTTCTATTTCTTTTATTCTATTCTTCACAAACACCTTACGTCTATTTGGATCACCTTTGATCCAGTAATAAGCTATTGAGGAATCTGTCCAAAAATATCTAGTAACTGGAAAACTTAGCACAGTTACGATTTTATTGCTCAATCTTGAAGACAAAAGTGCACCCATGAGTTCCAATCTAGGAATCAAAAGGGTTTTTAATGGTACCCTGCCCTTTGATGCTACAAATCTAGAAGTGATATTTCCACCCTTTAATTCTATGCGTAAGTACGCAACTGTACTTACCATAAGCTTTCTTAGATGCATCTGAAAAACAGTGTAATTGAATAGTGATTGCATGACTGGCAAAGAATTTTGAAAATAATATCAGGGAATAATTATTTCCTTTACATCTTGGATCTCATCACACCACTTATTCCAAGCAATTTCTAACTGTTTGGGCAATTTTTCATCCCAGTCTAATCCTAAACACCAAATTTCTTGCATCAAGTACTTAGCTTTAATAGTATATGGTCCTATAAAAACCTACTGGATCGAAAAGTTGACCTATCGCTTGTAGTAAGTGTTTTTTTGTGTTAGTTCCTTTTAAAAGAAGTGTTTCCAGATTTCTGGTATCAAAATAAAACGTGCCAGTTTGTTCATCCCAACCAATTCCTAATACTTTTGAAGCTATCAGCTTTGTATCTAGAGACTCTTCACCATGATCACCTACATTGAAGTTTAAATTCTTTAATTTTTTACTTAGCTCAGGAGAATTGGTTCTCCACTTTCGAAGGTCCATGTTTATCTCTTTTAGAATCTCTACACCTTTTTTACAAGTCTTTAGAGCCTGCTGAACAGTGACTCGCCCACAAATAAAATCATCGACATACAATGATTCATTAATATCTTTAGAAGTTAGAGGAAATATATCTACGTACCTTTAGTGATGTTTGATTGTGGCCGCAAGGAGGAACGGCTAGATCTCACCCCAAATAACACCCTTGTCATCCGAAAAATTTCT